CATTCCTATTCTTTCTATGACCTCTATGTCCAAAAGCATTGGTTTGCCTGAGGTGGTCAGCAATGTTTGGTGCAGAGCGATATAAAGCACACAGATAGCCTTGAGCATCAGTCTTCTGGCCTAAATTATCTACTAGACTTATTCATTCTCTCTTAAGTGCCTCACTACGATGGAAGCTGCAGCTCCCTCCCTCACAGCTTAGAGACAATTACCCCATTCCCTCTCAGTTTGCTCACAGTCATTTCCTTTCTCGTTGTGTACTTTTTTGGTTTCCTCCATGACGGAAAGCAATGGTGATCTTTCTTTGGCCAGCCTTTGCCTTTATGTGTCAGTGAGATCCCAAACATTGAAATATCCAGTTTTCCTTCCTATTGGCCCTTCCATTGGACCTCAACAGCTTCACACCTCCCTAGCTCTCCACCCAACCCATCTACATGGGCCTACAACTTTCCAGCGCATGGCACATGAGGGGACTGGGCCTGGTATGTGTCCCCCTTGAAGCCAGAGTGCCCCTGACCATGAATAAGTCCACTTCCCATATAATCACCCCCTGCCTTTCCATGCTTTACCATATACCCCCCCTTGCACACTGTTCCCCCCTTCACTATTGTCATCCTCCCTTCTGGCTTTCCCACAATCCTCCCAATCCAACCTGCAGCCCCCAATCCTGAAAAGTAGGCTCCCAAGTCTCCTTCCCACAGCAGCAGCTTTTGTGGATGGACCTGATGGACTGACAATGCCCCACCCCTTCTGAGCAAATGTAATGGACCGCCTTGGATGAAAAGTGGCCAGACTCCAGACTGGTAGCTGTACATTTCCCAGACTGCATTAGTCCTACCTTCCTCGACTGGCTGCTATCGAGCCAGAGGGCTGACTGTAACCCATTTCCTAGCCTGCAGAAGCTTGGACCCTCTGAATGAATCACCCTGAATGGATGGCTGACTGTGGCCAATCCTCTGGACTGGGAGCAGAGACTGTCCTTGTTGTACTGTGCTGGGAGCCCCTGCCCAACAGGTATCTCCATAGACTTTGGTGAAGACTACTCCCCTAAGACATTGAGACATGACTTGCTGCACATGCCAGCACATAGTCAAGGTGTGAGATCGATTTAGCACACTGCTGTACACTAATATATGTGTCTCTTTGACTGAGGACTGTTGACTAGAAAGGCAAGCTGCCTGTATGTGTGGCTATGCTAACTGGCAAGGCAAGGCATGGATGTTGCAAATATGCAAGTAGATGCTTAGAGAGCAAATGTTAACAAAGGCAGGGAAAAGTGCTAAGATACAGCCTGGACCTTTGCATTAACCAAGTACATGTTCATATAGTGTCCCTGCTGTAGCCTTTCAATGCCAGTTGCTCATGTATCCTACAATGTGAGCCTGTGTTTTCTAAGTGGCCAGAAAGTGGATCAGAGAGGTGCCATGATGGTCACGAGAGGCTGTCTAATGTCAGATGCCCATATCCATGAACGTGGGGTACATGTGACTGGTGCCCATGGATTGTGCCTTGAGATGCTGGCTCATGCTGAACAACATGGAGGCTGTTCAGAACGGGCAGTGAACTGAAGTTGCCAGATGTCCATTTTGACTTCCATTTCAAGATTTCTCAATGTGCAGTTTGTTCAGCACATTTGGGGTAAGATAGGAAGCTGAATATCAATAAGTGAGTTGGAGCATTAATAAGATATTTAACAAGCAATAATCCTCCTGACTTGGCAACTCGCCGCTAGTCGGGGGGAAACTTGCCTCATTGCTCAGTAAAACATAAGAGAGAGTGAGTTATTCCCAATGTTGAGGTGAGCCTTTTGCCAGACTCCTCGTCTGCTTCTGCCATAAATTTCACCAAAGCCCATACTGCTCAGACCCCTTTAAGATTTAACAAGCGATTGAGTTTTAAAAAATGTACCTGGGGGCTAGTTGAGGTGCTGCTCGTGGCTCCACACAAAGGGTAATAGAGATTTAGAACTCTCTCACAAAAGCTACCGATACTGCGACCATCGGAGTTTTCAACTATAGATTTTTGTTTGTTAACATATCCAGGGAAATGGAGCTGTGATTCAGAACCATTATGATCTAATTGGATGAGGAGGCAGGCTGATAGCTTACTCCTGCACTAAGGAAGGGGCTACACTCCAAAAGCTTGCATTTTCAAATAAACCCATTGGACTATAACCTGGTGTCATGTGATTTTTGACCTTGTCCACCCCAGTCCAAAACCGGCATCTCCACTTCATGGAGACAACCGAAGAAAAAGTTAAGTGAATACTGCAAGAAAGTTGAAGGCTCTGACATTTCAATACTATGACAGCTCATACTTTAAATAATTCATGAATCCTTTTTGTCGGTCCCGAGGATCAGGCTTATAAGCCAATTCTATAATAATGTGTTAAAGGAATTATCAATGTAAAGTATAGTGGCTTAGAAATTAGATCATGATAAATTGGTCTATTGATAGTGACAATGAGCTGTAAACATAGATCATTGCTGGGAGACAGCTTGCTGGTCACAGTGGGGAGCAAGATTTTGGAGGATGCTGCCTTATGGTAGATTTGGGTGGGAAGGATGTAATTATGAGAGGGACAAACACAGGGTATCTGCAGCCCACAATTTTAAATTGAAGATGTGATAAGCACTTCTCTTTCTAGCTTCAAACTCACGTTTTTATTTTTGTATTGTATGACTGGAAGCTGCATTGATCTTGTCTGAAGACCATTTGTTTTCATCTGAAAAAAACTGACTGCAGTACACATGGTACATGGTACTCTCAATTGGTAATCTTTTACGAAAGGGTCTGAAAAGGGCATTCAGCCCTCTATTTGTATGGGCCCAATGGCAGTCTCAAGTGGGTGCCCTAGACAGGAGTAGGACGTCATTATCAATATTACTTGCAAAACATACCCATTGCAGATGGATCACACACATCCGCTACTCCAAATGGAATCCTTTGCTTGCCATTTTTGTTGATAATTATGTTGCATAATTATATGATCAAAGGTTTGCCAAATTTGTTTTAGATAGTATCATAGAGTCATGGGGATATACACGGAAACAGACCCTTCATAACAACTTGTCCATGCCGACCAGATATCCTAAATAAAACTAGTCCCATTTGCCAGCATTTAGCCTACATCCCTCTAAACCATTCCTATTCATATACCCATCTAGCTGCCTTTTAAATGTTGTAGTTGTACCAGCCTCCACCACTTCCTCTGGCAGCTCATTCCATACAGGGACCACCCTCAGTATGAAAATGTTGCCCCTTAGATCCTTTTAAGTCCTTCCCCTCTCACATTAAACCTATGCCCTCTAGTTTTGGACCCCCACTCCCAGGGAAAAGACCTTGTCGATTTACCTATCCCTGCCCTTTATAATTTTATAACCCCCTGTGAGGTCACCTCTCAGCCTCCAACGCTCCAGGGAAAATAGCCCCAGTCTATTCAGCCCCTGCCTATAGCTCAAACCCTCCAATCCTAGCAATATCCTTGTAAGTCTTTTCTGAATCCTTCCAAGTTGGACAATATCCTTCCTATAACAAGGAGATCAGAATTGCATGCAGTATTCCAAAAGTGGCCCAACCAATGTCCTGCACAACCACAACATGACCTCCCAACCCCAATACTCAATGCACTGACGAATAAAGGCAAGCGTACCAAACACCTTCCTTACTATCCTATCTACGTGTGAGTCCACTTTCAAGGAACTATGAACCTGGACTCCAAGGTCTCCTTGTTCAGCTACACTCTCCAGGACCTTACCACCAAATGTACAACTCCTGCGCTGATTTGCCTTTCCAAAATGCAGCACCTCTTGTTTATCTAAATTAAACTCCATCTGCCACTCCTCAGCCCATTGGACCATCTGATCAAGATCCTGTTGCACTAATAGGTAACCTTCTTCACTGTCCGCTGCACCTCCAATTTTGGTCTCATCTGCAAGCTTACAAATCATACCTCCTATGTTCACATCCAAATCATTTAGATAAATGACAAAAAGCAGTGGACCCAGCACTGATCCTTGTCACAGGCCTCCAGTCTGAAAAGTAATCCTTCACCATCACCCTCTGTCTTCTACCTTTGAGCCAGTTCTGTATCCAAATAGCTCCCTGTATTCCATGTGATCTAACGTTGCTAACTAGTCTACCGTGAGGAACTTTGTCAAATGCCTTAATGAAGTCCGTATAGATTACATCAACTACTCTGCCCTCATCAAACCTCTTTGTTACTTCTTCAAAAAACTGAATCAAGTTATTGAGATACGATTTCCCACGCACAAAGCCATGATGACTATCCTAGTCAGTCCTTGCCTTTCCAAATGCATGTAAATACTGTCCCTCAGGATCCCCTCTAACAACTTGCTACTACCGATGTCAGGCTCGCCGGTCTATAGTTCCCTGGCTTTTCCTTGCCACCTTTCTTAGATAATGGCACAACATTAGCCAACCTCCAGTCTTCTGGCACCTCATCTGTGCCTATCGATGATACAAATATCTCAGAAAGGGGCCCAGCAATCACTTCCTTAGCTTCCCACAGAGCTCTAGGGTACACCTGACCAGGTCCTGGGGATTTATCCACCTTTATTGCGTTTTAAGACATACAACGCCTCCTCTGCTGTAATATGGACGTTTTTCAGGAAGTTGCTATTTATTTCCCCACTTTCTCTTTCTTCCATATCCTTCTCCACAGTAAATACTGATGCAAAATACTCGTTTAGTATCTTCCCCTATCTCCTGCAGTTCCACACATAGGTGGCCTTGCTGATCTTTAAGGGGCTCTATTCTCTCCATAGTTACCCTTTTGTCCCTAATGTATTTGTCGAATCCCTTTGGATTCTCCTTAACCCTATATGCCAAAGCTATTTTATCTGCACTGTTTTTACGTAAATCAATGTAATTTCTCATCTATGTAAATCTATGCTAAAGTTCCAGGATTAAGAAAAGATTTGTTCCTATTTAAATGGAAAAGTTAAGTGTATTACTTTGTTCCTGTGTGTGTTTTATAGAGAACAGAGAGTGACTGGGCTGCTTGTTTTCATCCTCATTGGCTTATCACTCTGTTTGGCTCCAATTCTTAAGGTGATAATTCCACAACAGTTATATTTAAATTTATAAACCTTGTTAATTATGAATTTTGATAGTGTTTTTTAAAAAAGCAATCAATGATTAATTTCTGCTGCCTCTTAGTATATCCCATTGCCAGTCCTGTTTGGAATCTTTCTGTACATGGGCGTGTCCGCTCTCAGCAGTGTTCAGGTAAGCAGATTTGCTTTTTGATTCTAGACATTATTTTTATCTCCAGTGGAAAATGTAACTGTGCTTCTCATTATGCTGCTTTTTTTGTAATGAAAACTAAAACCCCCCAAAGACTTGCACATGTATTTTATCACTTACTGAAACCTTGAATGGATTTTACAGTCCCGAGGGGGCGAGAGAGTTGGTGGGATGGATGCTATGGCGGTGGGATGGATGCTATGGCGGTGGGATGGATGCTATGGCAATGTGCTGTGCCCACTACCTATCTGTGTCCACTGCCATTTTACCAGTGGCAGGGAGTGTGTCTCTTCTGTAGGGTTAATTCAGGTCATTTAAGTAATTTATGGGGTTACTGGATGAGTCATCCAGATGCGTGATCCACTAGAGATATAAATTCAAACCCCACTTAGATTGCTGGGGAATTTAAATTCTATTAAATAAATCTGGAATTAAAAAAGCTAGAATCAATAATGATTGTGAAGCAACTGAATTCTTGCAAATATCCATCCATGTCACTGAACCCCCTCACATGGCAAAGTCCCATTCTCCCTTGGAATGGCCTGTACGTGACTTAATTGAGCTGCGAGATATATTCAAGCAAGTGGTTCACCACCATATTCTAAAGCAAATAAAAAGTAGCAACAAATGCTAATGTTGCCTATGATATCCACATCCCATGAAGATAATGAAGAGAAAGATGGGCTGAAAAATGGAGAGGCTCTGTTCAATGAGAGTTGTGGAGAGCGAATTTTCCACCAATGATAAAGGAAATGGGTGTAATTTGTCTATGTACAGAGGCTAGAGAGGATGGTAGGAAAAACAAATGTTGGAAATGGGACCATATTGAACAGTTAATGCAAAGGGAGAAGGAAAAGTTTTGTGTGTAAACATTTTGTCTGCAATTTAAAGTAAGATTTTTAGGTTTTCTTCCTTTATTGAAATTCCACTGACTTTAATTCTCAGGATCTTTGCAGTATTAGCTTCCAATTGATTGGCAAAATGTATATGTTAGTAACTGTGGATATCCGGCTTCAGAGTCTGAAGTGCATTTGATTAGTCTAAGACAAAAATGCCAGTTATTGACACAATAACAAAATAGGGCTGACTGGAAGCCATGGGGAGTGGCATGGGGATTCATTCAGAATCAATGAGACTGTGCTTTCCTGGATGACTGGGGCGGTGTCTGTGGAATGTGGAACATGTACAAGTGGGACGGTCTGCACCCAAACCAACATCCTTGCGGTTAAGTTTGCTGGTGCTGTTGGGAGGATGTGTGTGTCCAAGAATGAGACTGATTCTGAAGGGCAGTCCACGGTAAGTCTGATGTTGGGATGAAACTTGTTGATATCATTGTGTAGTCATTTCAAAGATTCCTTGCTGTGAGTCCAAGGGAAGAAAATGTCATCAATGTGTTTGATGTACAGCATTGGTCGGAGGTCCTGCACAGCAAAGAAGTCTTGCTCGAATTTGTGCATGAAAATGTTGGTGTTATTGGGATGCAGATTTGGTCCCCATGGCTGTTCCATGTGTCTAGATGAAGAACTGGTTGTCAAAGATGAAGACGTTGTGGTTGAGGATGAAGTGGATGAGTTGTAGGATGGCGTCTGGAAATTGGCAGTTGTTGGTATTATGAGGCTGTTGCAATGATGCCATCATTGTGGGGGATTCTGGTATAGAGTGCCAAAACGTCCATTATGACAAGGAATGTTCCTGGTTCGACCAGTCTGTGGGTGCTGAGTTTCTGTAAGAAGTCTATACAGGCAGTGTCACAACAGAAGCTGAGGGTTCCCTGTATAATGGGTTTCAAGATGCCCTCAACACAGCCAGAGAGGTTCTCACACAGGGTCCCATTGCCTGATACGATGGGACGTCCAGGTGTGTTGGCTAGGATACAGATTCTTTGAAATGATTTGAGGTAACCTTTTTACACCAATATGTGAAAGGTCCAACAAGGGATGATGCAGTGCTGGACTTAGGGAAACGAAGCCAATCCAATGGTCAAGATGGCAGTGGGGCCATATTTTAGTGGAAGTGACCATAACAAAGGGTTTTGGATTGGGAGGAGGCAGATTTTTTTGAAAAATAGGGTAGGATAGGACCAAAGTTGACTGGGAACAGCTACTTGTGGCTAAATCCACAGCTGAACAATGTGGAGTGTGTTCAAAAAAGGAATTGTGTAAAGTACAGACCCAACATGTTCCCTCCGTTCCCTGATGGAGGGGCACCCACTGAGAGCCTTTGCTGCTGACCCTGTAACCCACCCTCTCTCTCCCATGCTGTGATAGATCTTGTACCAGCAGCTACCACCACCTTACACATGATGCTGCCACGCATAGAACCATCAGCCTTTGTTGGTCAGTAGCTCTTGGCAGGCATGACCTCTGTCACTGGTGTCCTTGATCCCAGTGAAGGTCTCTCACTGTGTGATTCTCTCATAATGTGGCTGGCCTTCCTTCAGACAAAACTCCTGTCACCTCCATTAAACACTGCTCTGAATGTGTGGAGTGGATGGATGTGAGCTAACACTTGGCAGAGACTTAGAGTACTCATTCCTCCAAAGCAAGCAAAGGCCTGCCCTATTTGTGCTTTCAGAACTGAATTTTAAACGTGTGCTCGGATTCCTGTTAGTGCCCTTTAAATGATCATCATTAGTAAGTAAGAATAGTAAAATTAAACTAAACTGAAAATTGCAGTTCATTCTGCAGCAGTGAATTTATCTTGTCTACACTCAACTTCTTTTTAAAATATTTATCAATGTGGTGATGTGATTTTCACTACGTAGTTTTAACTCTGTTTGAAAAAGAGGGTGTAACTTTTACCTCACATGGAATATTTGTATGAAGCAAACTTCTGGATAGGGCTTCCTTTACCCTTCATTTATTTTCTCTCCCCTCCCACACCCTACTCCAGCCCCAGACATTTTATTTAATACTTTATTTTTATTTTTGTCTCACTTTGTACAACTCTGTATTCTTCAGCTCAAGAAACCAGGCAACAAAACTATTCCCAGATCTTGGGCAGTGCATCTGGTCATTTGATAGTCTGTAAGATGTCTGGGAATGCTGAGTTGCCAAGTTCCACTTTAGTGGAAATTGCCCGGCCTCCACTCAGCACAGTTGAGATGGGAAAGTCAGAACATGATAATTGTGGTGCAAGCTGTAGTTTGAGCGTTTAACAGCTGTCATGCTAATAGGTAGAATTCACCATCACAAGGTCAGATAATGCTACATCCCATGAAACTGGGAAGTAAGGCTAAGAATGTTCTAACGGAGTCCTGTTGAACCCCTTGACTCAGTAAATTACGTAAATATTTAATAAATGTTCATTAGTTTGCACTAGTATTGTTTCCAGTCTTACCCAGTCATGTATAAACCCAATGTTCCCGACTCATAGCACAGCATTTTAAATTACTATCATGCTCCACCACTTTCAGTTTCTTGCTTACATTTTTTAAAATTTCCCACTATATTTTTGTCCTGTTTTGAAAGTGTTTGCTTTTCATATGTTGGCTTATTTTAACTTTTTGCCAACATTTACTGTTCCTTACTTTGGGAGGTTACTTAGCAAGCTGTAAAAGGTGAGAAAGTAGGAAATTGAGAGTACGTAGATCTGATTTTCCTTCACACATCTCCTCATCCACTTGAATTCAGGTAGAGTGCTTTCCAATTTGACCTTAACTGAAATCTGATATTTTGTGTTCCCAAAAATATTTCTTTCTTTTGTTGTACCTTTCTTGGAAGTGAAACATGAAGGGTGCTACGTGTGACATTGAGCATCAGATAATGTATTGGATGAGTCCCAGAATTAATACAACTCCATTTCACTTGAGGGCCCATCCACATAACATGATCTGAAAGTGAGAGATACCTGATATACAAAGTTATGAATTGATTTGCTGGTTAGGCCTCTTCCTTTCTGTACCTTTTAAATTACTGTGCTGTTCTTGCTTCTTCATTTAATAACTGTTTCTGCACTGTTTGGAACTTGGGCAAAGGAAGGTATTGAACTTGGAACAAAAACAAAGTTGCTGGAAAAGCTCAGCAGGTCTGGCAGTATCCGTGAAGAAAAAAAAGAGTTAACATTTCGGGTCTGGTGACCCTTCCTTAGAACAGAGGTATTGAACTTGCCTGTCTTGTAGCTAGTTAAAGCTTAGCACTTTGTATTGCTATAGTTTTAAAAACTCCCGAGTATGAAACAATGCACATTCTGGTTGTGTAGCTCTCCATTGGCTGAGTCTAAAAAAAAGAATGTAGAGGACACTACATCTTCAGATACTTCATTCACATTCACCCATATGCTAACGTTTGTTCATAGAGAGCTCAGGTTTTTTCCAGTGCAGAGACAGCTGTACCACTGACTATAATTGTTACTGCTGGGTTTGAACTTCAATGCAGAGACCACCTTCTGGATAAATGCAGAAGAAATTTTTGTCACACTTTGCACATCAATTCATAATTGTGTCCAGTAGGTATTGCCAAAACCAGAGATTTCAACACATTTCGTGCGAAAAGCAATTAACAGCTTTAACAAATTCTCCGACTCTTTTATATGACTGGATTCAAAACACCGCATTTGAGCTCAAACTTGTTCTTCTCCCAAATGTACCTCCAATCATGAACAGAAACTGCTGACGTCCCACCAGCGTGCGCATGACACTTGACCACAGGGACAGAATCAGGCTCATTTTTAAAACAACTTCCCTCTTTTACTTATCCTGTATTATCCTTCCAGTCTTTTTTGGAGAACAAGGAAGATCTAAGGGATAATTTTTTAGGAGACCAAGGGTATGTTCCACAACTACACCTCACCTCAGGTGAACTGTGTCATCCAGAAGGAGAATAGCTCAGAGGCAATCTAATATAACCCTAATATTCACCTGGGATTATGTGAAATTCACGTTTAACATCCTGAATTGGAAATGTTTTTGCTTCAACTAATAGTCAAGGCGTGTAAAATGGCCGTTTACTGCTGCGCCCTCAAAGAGAGCAGCCTACAAATGGACTCATTAATGTTCTAACGGAGTCCAGTCGAACCTTGACTCTGTAAATTATGTAAATATTTAATAAATGCTGATTAGTTTGCACTAGTATGTTTTGCAGTCTTCACCCAGTCATATACTGTACACAACCCAAATTGCATAGCACATCGTCTTAAATTACTGCTGGGTTCCACCACGTTCAGTGTGACCCAGATATTCACCTGGGATTATGTAAAATTCACCTTCAACATCCTGAAGTGGAAATGTTTTGATTCAATTTATAGTCAAAGCCTGTGAAATGATAGTTGCCTGCTGTGCCCTTCAAATGGAGGAGCCAGGACAAGGAAAGGCTGCAAGAAGCTGAAGCAGATGATGCAGCCAATAATAGACGAAAAATACTGCCTGAAGAAGCTAGCAGGCCATCCTCCTGAAAAATGCAGCACAAACTGATCCCCAGTGGGATCACTCTGAAATGTGAATGACTGGGGAACTGTTTGCTGGATCTTTCTTCAGAAGCACTCCAATCACAACAAGTATGTTTTATATTCAGACAGATCAGCAATTGGCAAGATTTCCTGCATGACAGGCCAAGTTTACAGTGATGAAGAATACAGGAACTTAGTAAAAGGACTAGTTCAGAATGTACAATATTTGCCTGACATAACAAGGTGTTAGACCGTCTAGGCCCGAAACATCAGCCTTCCTGCTCCTCTGATGCTGCTTGGCCTGCTGTGTTCATCCAGCTTTACACCTTGTTATCTCAGATTCTCCAGCATCTGCAGTTCCTACTATCTCTGAAACACTATTTACCTGCTTCCTTTTCCAAACAATTGTTGATTCCATAATTTGGCCACGAGAGTGACCACACTCACATGCCCTGCCACATCTACATATGCTGCTTGAACTTTACTCATTACAGCAGGGTGCCACCACATCCAAACTGAGACTGCCCTCCACTTCCCGATAACACAGCCAGTCTGTTCTCAGCCCTGCTGTATATTTAGGTAAGACCTGAAAGATGACTTTAAGGCCAAATAGCAACTCTTGGCACTTTGATAATCTCTCCCATAACATCAGCTTATATTGATGCAGTGTCAAAGTCACGGACTGATGCATCACATTTCTCGCTTCAGAAGAGCGTAGATTCATGGAGCACACATCAAGAACTGATTCTCCAGAAGGGATGCATTAACAGATACAGGAAGATATGTTTGACTTGAAGTATGTGAAGGACAGATGACTGACAGGAAATGCGTATTAATGCTTTAAAAACATTTTATTCTTTTATCAGATCTGAGCATCACTGGCTTGTCCAGCATTTGTTGCCCTTTCCAAATTGTTCTTAAGTGGTGACCACTTTGACTATCTTAAAGTCCATGTACTTTAAGTACATTCGGAATGCTTTCACAAAGGGACTTCCAGGATTTTAACCTAACAATACTGAAGGAACGGTTTCCAAGTCAGAATGGTGTGTAGCTTGGAGTGGGACATGCAGGTTGTGGTATTCTGCTGTCTTTGTCTTCTGGATATTTGAAAGATATTATCAGAAGAAGCTTGATGAGTTGCTGCTGTACATATTTCAATGGTGCACAGTGGTGCTATTGTCTGTCCACGGTGTGGGGAGTATACATTGAAGGTGACTGATGGGGTACCAGTCGCTGGGCTGCAATTGTCTTGGATGGTGTCACACTTCTTAGATGTTGTTAGAGCTGTGCTCCAGGTAAGGAGAGACTATTTCATTACACTGCTCACTTGTGCCAATAGTGGAGAGGCTTTAGGGGGACAGGGGGGTTACTCATTGCAGAATTCCCAGCTTCTAACCTATTATAGCCACAGTATTTATGTGACTAGTCACGTGAAGTCTGAAGAAGCTACGTTCTGGATGTTGATACAGGGGATTCAGCATTACTAAATATTTAGTGACTAAAAATCTTTGGCCCTTCTAGCTCTCTTCATCTTTAACTTTGGAGGGTAATAGGGTCATGGCAACAATCAGAATCTTCCATTTAATACACTTTCAAATAATATTACAAATAGTTTTAATCTAATAGAACTTCCTCAAATTCTGTCCACAACTTCAATTTTCAGTTTAGCACAGTTGGTAAGTTGTTCCCACACATGCATTAACCAGCACATTACGTTGAGAATTACGTTTCAATGCTAACCCATCCGAAAGAATTCCTTTTACTGCTTTCAGCTTTTATGACCATCTGAAGTTTTGTAAAAACATATATTGAGTAAATTGTGCAGTTTCCAATTGGCAATGAAAGAGTTTTGGTGAAAATAAAGCTATGATTTTACTTGTCCCCTTGCAATGGAAGCTGGAATTATTTCTGGATTTCTCCTGAAGCAAAAGTGGCTGCTTCAGGAGACACTGCCACAAGAATAACCCAACTGCTGTTTCACTCAGAACCTGTAGTCTGGAGGAGGCAGAGAGGTTGCAGACAAATTATACTGCAGTGAGAGATTTGTTCTGAATGTGTGGCATGTTTTGTTTTCATTTTATCTTTAACAGTACTGTCACACTCTGGTCTTTAATATAAGGATAGTGTCACAGAGTCCAACAATTTGTTTTGCAGTTTTAGCCAGTTTTCTGTTTTAAAGATGCTTTCACAGTAATTTCTTGTTACCGTATTTTTCCCTCTGGTCGTGCTTGCTGTGACTAATGTGCTTGCAATGAGCTTAAAAGGAAGGCAGTGGGCAGCACTCTGTCTGATCCACTCTTATGATGTGCTTTTTTATGGCAAAATAACTTTGTTTGGGAACACATTAGGTTTGATAAGCAAGGACAGTGATCTTTGTCTTTCCCAGGCTGGACCTGAAGGCAGTGTTTTCCAGCATCCTTGTACAGGAAGACAGACATCCAAGATGCACTGTCATGGTGTGATGCCTGTCATCAGCATTTAATTTAGGCGGCCTCTCACTGACTTCTGAAAGCAACGACAGATTTGTGACAAGGATTATGCCCCACAGAACTTCTGCTCTATCACAATATGTATTTTTTCTGAGATGTTTACATTTGAGAAAGACCATTCACAACTGAATGATATTATTAAGAACCCTAACTGAAGCAGGAATGTTGCTGAAGAGAATTCAGTGTTAAAGATAATTTCATTTGTTATGAATTGATTTGTGCTTACAGCAAAGTAAAACTTTCTTTGGTAAGTGAGCATTGAAACGTATGAATTTTGAAAGAAAACTAGATCCAAACCCAGTAGATTATTGGTAGAATAATCAGAGGATTGATTGTAAGGGATAACAACGGCAATGCTGACAATAAGGCAACAAAACTAAAAGGAGCAACTGAGATCGAGCATGAATGAACGAAATGCTGGAAAAAAATGAAAAATGGTAATAATCAAAGAACTATGTCTGCATTTCCCTTTTTATCGATAGTTCATGGATAGATTGAAATTGCTGTTGACGCCTGCTAAACACCAGCCTGACTTAATGTATTTACGCCATGTTCCATTGCGCCGGGTCCACCTTTTCACGTTGCTTCAGATCTTGTGTCTGGTTCTGCTGTGGGTTTTGAAATCAACAGTTGCTGCAATCATATTTCCAGTTATGGTGAGTAACAACTTTATAGACATTCTCAACATTAAATATACATTAAGCCAATTCAGACTTACTACTTGTAAAATTAACCAGGAAAATCATCCATGCATTTTACTTACAGGGACAGAATGGTAAAATTCTTAACCATTACCATTTAAGCTTTCTTTATTCCACTATCGTCTTTGTAATAGTCAGCTGTCCGATCTAGAAAGTGAACAAATTACCTTTATAATTGATTATAGGATCTGGACATTGCTTAATAGGCCAGCATTTATTGCCAATCTGTAATTGCCCTCAAGAAAGTGGTGATGAACTGATGTGATCTTTTTATTGTAGGATACTTTTGGTGGAATGCTTTGAGGTGGGAAGTTTCAGAATTTTGAGCCAGAAAGATTGGAGGAACTGTGATCTAATTCCAATTCAGAATGAAGTGAGATTTGGAGGGGAACTCAGTGGAGTTCCCATATGCCTGTTGCAATTGTTCTTCTAGGCAGTAAAGATCATGGATTCGGGAGGTGCTGTTGAATGAGCCTTTAGGATTCGCAGCAATCAATCTTGAACATGGTACATCGATGATGAAAGAAGTAAATAAGGAGGTGGCTAGGGCGCCAATAAAGCATGCTGCTTTAACCTGTATGGTGTTGGGTTTCTTGTATGTTATTGTATTTGTCCAATTCAGTGGAGAGCAATCTATTATACACCTAAGTTGTGCTTTAGAGATGATGGACAGACTTTGAAGAGTCAAGAGAGAGATTATGCACAGAATTGCCACAGCATTAAAGGAGACCATTCAGCCCTTTGAGTCCATGCTAGCTTTCTGTAGGGCAAGCAAGTCAGTCTCATTCCATGCTTCATTCCATTAACACTGCAAGATTTGTTTTTAATCCCCTCCAGTGCTTATCCACTTCCCTTTTCAAATCATTCATCATCTCTGCTTCCATCACATTTAGAGGGAGCATGTTTCAGGTCATTACCACTTACATGCACATGTCTTTGCCATAGAATTCCCAGCTTCTGACCTGCACTTGTAGCTTCAGCCTTTTTGTGACTGCTCCATTTCAGTTTCTGGTCAATGGTAAGCCACAGAATGTTGATGATAGGGGTTTCAGCAAGTGTGATCCCATTGAATGTTAAGGGGAGATGGCTATATTCTCCAGTGGTAGAGATGGTTATTGGCTAGCACTTGTGTGGTGCAAATGATGGATGCCACTGAACAGCTCACGCATATCTTTCCCACCCATCCTTGATTTTTATGGATGGAGATGGACTAGGGGCAACCTGCCTGCCTTTGCACTAATAGAGACTCTTAAAAAAGCCAATTATTGGCTGCTTCCAAAGTTTTTCATAATTTTAGGCTGATGGAAGGAGTACAAGGATGGGGGTCAATGTACAGGAGGTTAGCCTGCAGGGAACATCTCCCTCATGGGACTCCTTGCAATGGTCCCTGACTGCTTCCAGCCCCTTGAAAATCTCCAGCACCTCCTGTGTCAGCCCCAGGAGGGAGACTCCTGGACTTATCTGCATTTTGGACATTGATCACTTTGTACTGCATGATTTGGGATAATCCTCACAGTGTTCCTGCTGGTACTGTTGGCATTAGAGACTCTCTGACATGGGCTTTCCTTCCCAGTTTAAGACACAAGGCCTATCTGCAGCCAATTAATGATCTACAGGGTGGTCATCAGGAGCTTCAAGTGCATTCTTCACTGACATTTTCAATCCAAAAAATTCTGCCTGAGGTCCTCCTGAAGTTATGGAGTATGTTCAGAAACGTGTCGCTGAGTCACATACAGCATCGAGATTGCAAACAGTCTGGTTCTGTCTCAGACAGTGGGTGCTGAGAGGGATGGAGTTGACGGCTTGGGAACAGAGTTTGTTATGGAGACCAAAGACAGTGATTTCAGTCTCATCACTACCTGTTCGGAAGAAATTTCTGTGACTTAGTGTCAGACAAGCAGACCGCTTTGAGACAGAGGAGGGATTGAGCAAGTGAAGTACAATTGAGTACTGCCAATGTAAATATGAATGTATATTTCTGATGATACTGAGAGACAGCACAGAGCTGAGAAATAGGAAAGGGAAGTGTCAACCTCAGTAGTCTGTATGGGCACACAAAGCACATTAGCTAGCCATGCAGTTGATTGCCTTGCTGTCCAAAGAACACTAAACTTACTCATTAGGATCAACCATAAGGTAAAGGCCTCAACCTAAATTTCCACACTTTTTTAAATCATATTATCAAAATCAGGAAGTTTGCTCTGCATCAGAATGGGCTGGAAGTCATTTGGGTTGGATTGCCTCACCCTAATTTAATGGTTTGCTTTATCTCCTTATGTTATTGGCCTCTCTACAGTCCACCTGCTAAATCTTGACAAGGGTTGCATTACAGCTCCAGAATTCTAGCTTTTATACGCAAAGTGTTCTGGGTAAATTGGAATTAAAACCCTACGACTACCACCAGGAGCAACTGAAAGAGGTGGGGTGATACATTTGTGAGTCTGAAGAATGCGGAAAGCTTCAGTCATGATTTTCCTACCTCAGCGCAATTTTGCACTGCCTTTTCTTTTTGATTTGTTTCCTTTCTTTCTTTGGCCGGGTAAATAGTTGGAGCTGTGGCTGACAAGGGTTTGGATCTTAATGCTCTACGTCCTTAGCATCTTCAAAGGAGTAGCTAGTGAGACAATGTATGCATTGGTTTTAATTTCCAAAACTCATTTGATTCAAGGATGGTCCCACTAGATTGGAAGATAGTGAAGTAACTCTTTTATTCAATGAGGGAGGGAGATAGAAAGCAGGAAATTGCACTGTTGTTATTCCTAACATCTGTCTTAGAGAAAATGTTAAAGTCTATTATTAAAGAAGTTATAGCAGAGCATTTGGATAAGTTCAAGGTAATCAGATTGAATCAACATGGTATTGTCAAAGAGAGCTTACGTTTGGAAAATCTATTGGTGTTCTTTTAAGGAGGTAACAGATGATATAGGTAAAAGAGAAGAGGTGGATTGAACTTAGATTTCCAGAAGGCATTTCATAAGGTTCCACATAGAAGGTCACTGTGTAAAATATAAGCTTGTGTCTAAATGGTAGAATATTGGCATGGATTGAAGATTTGACAGACTACCTAACCGGAAGCAGTGATTTTTTTTGAAGGACATTACTATTCATCCCTCAGATGTGGGTGTCATTGGCTAAGCCAGCATCCCTAATTGTCCAGAGGGCTGTGAAGTGTCAATCAGATCACCGTGAGTCTTGAGTCACATGTAGACCAGACCAGGTAAGGATGGTAGACAACAAGGTGCAGAGCTGGATGAACACAGCAGGCCAAGCAGCATCATAGGAGCAGAAAGGCTGACGTTTC